AAAAAAAAAAAGATGACGCGGAAACTTTAGGAAAGGCCAAAAGGAGGAAAAAGATGAAAAAAATAAGGAGGAATCCCTTGCAAACTCTATGCATGCATTACGGTGAAATGTACTTACCCTAAATGGCTCCACATGTTCAACCTCTTCAGGTTCACAATGCCAAGGAGAAGGAAGATAGCTTATCTCCAATAGTATACTATTATCTGGCCTAATGCAATACACTACCCCGATGCTTCCTGGAGTAACGGCTCCAAGTCCATGTTTAGCTGTAGTCAGTGCAGGCCTAATACGAACCCAATCTCCTACTTTAAATTCTTCAACTCTTTCCATTTCTGCAGGATCTGCTTTCCATCCTCTGGATGCTCCAGGAAAACCAACACGCAGTATTCCATCATCATCAACACAAAGAACTGTTCCAATGCTGTCTCGTGATGGGCCACGCCACCCAAATCTACGCTAGCAGAACATAAATTATTACTACACATTGGGTGGATGCTGATAGTGTTCACAAGCAGTTAAGATCATAATGTATGTAGTAGTCATCTTTTATTAGTGAATATAAAGTAAAATCATAGTTAGTTCAAATATTATGCAGAATGTTATAATCATAGCAGAAAACTCAGACCTGGGCTCAATGACATCGGACTTAAGCTGAACATGCTGCCCTCTGTCAAGCGGAATCACTTTTATGACTTCATTCGTTAGTACTTGAGCTGGAGTGTCTCGAGAACAAAATGCTACAATAAGATGGTCATTGTCAGGGACTTTTTGCACAAAACCAACACTCTTATGTGTGACATTTTGCCATCCGTAAGTTGGTTCTTTAACACTTTTTCTGTACTTCACCCAGTCACCAACCTGGTATCTGAACAATATGAAAAAATGTGAAAGTCCACATACACAATTAGTCACACGAAAGAAGTTGAGCGAATATACTCAAGAACCACATTCGAAAACAGGAGATATTATGGCTGTTTACGCACGCTGTAGGAGACAACTGGACTCCCTTCTCCAGCAGTGCCTCCATAAGATCTTCAGAAATCCATTCCCGAGGAAGAGCCTCTAAGAAGTCCCGTAATGTCTTACCACTGCAAAAAACCATGACATTCAGCAATAATACTTAGAAGCACACATTACAAAATCATCAACCCATGCACATTACAGACACACACACCCAAAAAAAAAGAAGAGGAAAGTAAAGCATTTCTAAATGAGCTCTGCAGTATAAGATAACCAAAAATAATTGCAAGTGTAGAAAACTAGCCTGTGGTTCCTAACATGTACGGCAGCATCAGGATATCTAAGCATAATACGGATCCACTCAAAATTCTCACGTATCATCTTTGCCGTGTCAGCTGCTATATGAAACGCGTTGTCACCATCATCATCCTAAAGATAAAATGAGATGAAAACAACAAATGAGTTTCAGTGGTAAAGGATGTAACTAAATTTAATGATGTTGTAATGTTTCTGAATATTTTGGTATCCCTGCAAAGTTTGCAAGGTCTAACTAATATTTCAAATGTTATTATGATAAAAAGACCCAAATTTGAAAGCAGACCTCCAGATTGCAATTTGCCCCAGCTGACAGAAGCAACCCAACACAAGATTTTGCACCTCTAGCCAATGCCACATGGAGAGGTATGGTTTTCTGCTGATTCCTGATATTCACATCTACACCAGCTTCCAATATGATCTAAGGAAAGAAAATTATTAATGATATAGTTATTTATTTTACGCAATGTGTTGATCTTCAACATGAATGATATTGGAATGTCATTTACAGAGTGAAACAGCCATTAACATCCTGTAGTCAATCAGCATACCTTGACTAACTCAACATCATTCGACATTGCAGCAGTATGCAAAGCAGTTTGGGCGTGTTGGCTGTCTTGAGCTCTTGCATCTGCTCCGGCAGCTAGAAGTATCCTTACCAGTTCTCTACCCTCTAAATAATCATACAAATTAGAATGTCAACATGAGAATGTAACAAGTTAGATAATTCTAATATTGGAAACCAATTAGAATAAGCAAGCCCGATAAGTATGAAGAAACTCTTACCAGATTCATGATCTTTCTTCAAGGCAGCTGCCATGCACAAAGCTGTTCCGACAGGGCCCTGGATATCTATAGCTTCAGCAATGCCTTCTGCAGATGCAAGCTCTACCCATCTTTTGACAACAGCTACATTCCATGTCATTATACACAAGTGCAGTGGCCTGCCAAATTAAAGAAGTTACGAATCAATGCAAATGATTAAGCAATCACATCAGAGTTTCTTAGAAGAATACAATAAGCAAACAAATAAATCAAGTGAACACTTTGAGGACACTAATACAATTGTTGTGGGGCCTGGAGCATGTATCTGCATGGGCCCACGTGGAACTACCATAAACAAGAAAAGTTACAGATGCTTTGTGGCAATGTGGTATTACTGGTGGCATGTTTAGCATAAAACTGCTGATAATTATACATCGACATGCATTAAGATGATTGTAGATATAAGTCGACTTTCATGGTTGATCAGTGTTATCTATGGCAGATGGCGGAAAATGGCAGCAGTCTGAAATCCCGGCATGTGCGGTCTGTGGCGCTGCCAAAACCGCCATCCTTCACAAATTTATAATGGCATTAGGCATAATCTGCCACGCCATACTGACATGGCGGAAATTTGATAACACTGAAGCCGATCTGCAAAAAGTAAAGGAAAGAATCGACCATTTTTCATCTTGCATAACAGATATTACCCTAACTGCACAATATATTGAAAAGTTAATGTGCCTCTACTACATCACCTTGTTAACTCATATTCAAGATAATCAATTCGGTCATTGTGGTCGGACCTCCACCAAAAATGATTTCTATGGTGGGGGAACGCACATTGGTTCGAACAATTATAGTTATTACTTGGATCAAACCATCTGTAAAAGTACCATCGAACCTAACCTCTTTTCTCTGTGACACTGGTGCTATCAGTAGGTCAACATATCCATTCTAGATTGAGATGTCATTTCTATGTTGCTATAAGAATTTGGTCCCAATTTTACCTTGAGTTGAGTCAATGAAAATATTGTCCTCTATAACTTTCCTTCACAAATGTTTTAACAAGGACAGTTGCATGTTTTCCCTTTCTGGTGGAACAGATATAAATCAATTAAATTGTAACTCCCTGATATATTCAGGATTGGCCAAAGAAATCTTCTCACACATGTGTTAACACTTACGTCAAATGTTTTGAGTTCAGGATTCTCATAGATTTACAGCCTCCATTTTCCAATATGACTATAGCACAGTCCGTGTATTTCTTTGCAACAGCCCTATGAAGCACTGATTCGCCTTCATCGTCAACTGCATTTGGATCGGCACCCGCCAGTAATAGCTCCTATGGTCATTAAAATTAGATAACCAATGAATATTGTATAAAATCAAAGTTAACATTTGGTGTAAAATATGTGTGGGTTTTTTATATGCAGCTCCAATGGAGATGGGCTAATAGATTAAACAACAAGAATCTACCTTCTTGAACGTCCATATACTATAATATTAGCATTTTGTACATCTACAAAATGGTATACAAGTGCCAGATACATACTCGCATGCAGTCGGGTTGGCCATGGTAAGCACAGACATGGGCAACTGATGGACCAAGGCCTTCCCGTAACCTGGACCTGACATTAGCATGGTGTTTAATGAGTGCACGAACACACTCAGGCGATCCAGCTGCAAGAGCAAAGACAAGAGGGGGATCACCGTCTTTGTCGAGAACATCAACATTCGACTCTTTGCACTCCAAAATAGCTTCAACAAGCTCGACGCTGCCCCGTCTACAAGCCAGATGCAGAGCAGTTTGGCCTTCGGCATTTTGTGCTTCTAAAATAGAGTTTAATAAACCTTGACCATGTCTAGAAGAAGTCTTCAATAGAAACTCCCTGTATGAACAAGGATAATGAAATGTAAGTTTCAAACAAGCTTTATATCCAGTGGCATAAGATATCCAAAGCAAAGATGCCTCACCGAACAGCATTCAAATTGCCTTCAGAGATAAGTCGGTGCAAAAGATTTGGGTTTGCAAGCGGCACCTGCTGCTCAGCTGCCGGGGTCGGCACTAGTCCATTCATCACAGGATTTATAGGCAAGTCACTGTTATAGGATCCAACAAAATGGACAAAAAGCTCATCAAATATGTAAATATGACCTTATAATGCTGTTAGTTAAAACAAACACCAAATATGTAGATGAAATTTTTAGTTTCTACAGAAAAAACTTTCAGCTTCTTACTTCTCTGGGCTCGCTGGAGGGCTCCTAGGGATTTCCTGCAAGTGCCGAAGAAAAATTGACAACATAGAATGAAAAGTTGGTCTTTTCGATGCCCTGAACTGCAGGCAGTCACCAATCATTTTCCATAGTTCTCTAGGTATTCCAACACCAACAACACTAGCATATTGAGGAGGTTGTTTTTTAGCTTTGACAACATATTGATAGATTTCTTCAGCACTTAGGCCGGCCCACCTGCATAAAATAAACACCAGTAGTGTTTGTCATTCACTCTATTTTAAGAATCAAAAGGGAAAAATAACAAAGTTATCCAGGGGAAAATTAGAAATACACATACGGCTTAGATCCTGTGCACATCTCCACTAATGTACAGCCGAAGCTCCAGGCATCAGACTCTGTAGATATGCCAATAGCATCATCCCAGAAAAGATGTAGCGACTTTTTTACAGGTTCCCAGGCCTCAGGGGCAGTATAATTTGGGATCAGCATCGTGCAATCCATACATGAATGGATCTTTGAAGATTCACACTCTTTACTAGCTTTCCTGCAATCAGGTTTTTTCAGGATTGCTGAAAGCCCATAATCAGAGACCACGGCATGACCATTTTCATCTAAGAGCATGTTGGATGGTTTAATATTCATACAAACAACACCAGCTGCATGAAGCTCAGCAACCCCCAGGGCAATATCTGCTCCATATCTACATTCAAAGATATAACATATCAGGTCAAAGGAATCCACATATCAGTTAAAGCTACCACGATTTGCAATAAAACCAACTGAAGGCAGAGAGAGGATTACTAATCATAATGGCAAGTTGTCGAGTAAAATGTAAGAGGAAGCATTACAGCAAATCATTGATTAGCACAGAAAAAATTCATTTTACTTTAAGCAGACAAGAAGCTGTGACAGAAAACAAAATAGCACCTTGATATACAGGAATGCAAAATCTTTGGACCAGAAAACAATATGGCATTTTAAAGGCTCTTAGGGTTAGACATTCCTGTTGATGTATAATATCCACGATAGATATCATAGCAAATGATTTGATGACAAAAACACCATGCAATCCCTTATTTAAAAGTTAAAACACTACCTCCACCTGGTTCCTCAAAGCATATGATTTAATCAGATGAGGCTGGTCCAAAGTTTCATTTCATACTTGCAGCTATTAGTATTTCTAATGAGGAACTATAGCCCAAAATAGGGTTGCAGTTCTCCTCAACCATCATTGGTACAAGACTCCACAATCCATATTAAAGGACTGTACTTTATTCATTTCTGAGGTCCGAACGAGGAGAAGCTGATGCAGCCTAAATTGTGCTTCTTCTGCTAACATGTCCACTGATGACTGAACGTTTCTTGAAATTACAGTTCAATATACGATAAATGATAATGGACAAAATCAAATAACAGTAGTTTTGTAAGTGAAGACGAAATCACATTATTAATAAAAAAGGTATTTGGAATAAGAAACATATTAAACAAGTAACACTGGTCAAATCTTTGATAATCAGCCCGCAATTCTTATAGTGAAACAAATCAAATTTTTTGTAGATTGCTAAATTTATAAATTGAGATAAATATTTTTCAAGAGGTGAACTGAAGATTGACAATTGTGATCCTCAAGATTTACATAGCAACGAATGTAACGAATAAAGGCCATGATCAAGCAATAAAGGTATCAGCTTACCACAAAAAAAACAGTTTACATTTAATGAAAGAAGTTGACAGATGCATTGTGAAGACCAAAATGTACATTATTGATGTGTTTAGGTTAGAAATGCAAATATAAGTAATAAAAATACTAAAACCATGGCCACACATATAAGAGGAAAATGAAAAGATCATTAAATATTATTATAAAAAAATCACTAGTTAATATATGATATATCAACATGCATTAAATTGATGAAGTTATTTATTTTCTCTGAAAATCTTATATTGGTCGACTTTAAAAAGTTGAAGCTTGTGCCGTAGTTAGATAAAGAAGCAAGTCAAAGATAAAAATAGTAAGTTACATCATCACGGGACCAAATTCCCTCATTTAACATAAGTATCTATAGTTCATTTATTATTATTATTATCTTAAAATGTATCAGCTATACTCCCTTTTTTTGTATTAAGTGCCGTTTTATATACTTATTTTTATTACAAATTAAATGTCGTTTTTTGAACCATCAATTTCCAACTTTACCCGTGCTATTTTCAAAATGAAAAAAATATAGTAAGATAATAATGGTGAGCGATTGAGAAAGATTAATAAGACTAACAATTGATTCAGGGTGAATTAGTCAAATCTTTATGTTCCTCAATTCTTGAGAAAAATCCTACGACGACACTGACTATAAAATAGAGGAAGTATTATATAATCTTCCACCAAAAAGGCTTACGCACTTTGCGTATCCTGTCATCTAGCAAAAAGATTTAGGCCCATGTTTCCACAGAGACATTATTGATCACGAGCAAGCCACTAAAAAGAGGGCAAATGGCCCAATACTACTCACTCTTAAAATTCTCGACTGGCCGTTAAGCTAGAAAAGGTTCATACTTTCCCACCTAAACCCAACAAATATTGCATTCTTGCTCAAGAACTAAGAAAAAAACATCAAAAAAAAAAAAAAAAGAAACTAACAATGAAACTAACAATGATATATACCAATAACTTTCCCCTTCAAAAATCCAGTTCTATATCCCAATTCATCAACACCAAATACGAAACATCCGCGAAAACACAGTTCTAATGCCCGTGCAGCGTTGCAGTTTTATACTTTTAGCAGCTATTATAACATACATAAATAAATAAAAGAAACCTGACCTAACCAAAGAAGAAAAGAATTGCATATCCCACTCACACTCATTCAGATTTTAAGTCATTGTGAGAACCCACTGAAGCAACAAACTAAATACCAGTCCAAGCAATTTAGCAGGCATAATTTATGATGGAGAATGCACTAGAATGTAATAAATTAAAGGAAAACCATAATTAGAAGAAGAAAATAAACCTAAGTATCTGCTCGAGAGTGAGGCGCCCTCCATTACGCTGCATTGCCGTCTGTACAGACCCATGACACCGATCCATAACCAAACAAAGGTTACCCTCCAACCTGGTGGCTCCATGGAAGGTGCATACATTTCTGCACCACATTGATTTCCTTCTGAGCTCCTCCAGCTGTCCTTGCATCCAAACCACATCAATCTCATCCCTGACCACCACCTTCTTAACCGCCATCTTATGCTTACACCCTCTACCGGAAACAACAGCGGCCCACATCTCGACACCTGGCCTCGGACTGCTCCCATCCCCTATCCTCCTCACCATCTTCACTTCCTTGTGCAGTCCCAAATCTATCCTCCTGCCTCTAAACCCATCCTCCACTCTTCGGCTCCCGTTGTTACTAAAACAACCATTGCTTGCACTATTGACATTATTATTACTGCTATTATGATTGTTATTGCTATTTCCACAACAGTCACTATTGACGGCGCCGAAAATTCCATCACCTGGGTCCACCTCGCTACCTTCGCCGTCTTCCTCCTCGTCGTCCTCTTCCTCATCCGCACCTTCCTGGATCAACGACAGCACGGCGTAGTTCTTCTTGAGGGCGGAGACCGAGTTCCCGACGGTGGAGACCTGGCGGCAGCGGGGGCAGGAGAGGGACGAATCCGGCGAGGCGGAGAACATTTTTGTGAGGCACTCGCGGCAGAAGCCATGGCCGCATTGGAGGAGAAGAGGGCACCGCTCGTCCTCGTTGTACTTGTTCTGGCACACCGAACAACACGGCACCCTCATTTTTTTCGATTTGTTTTTCAAAGTTTCCACCTTTATTGCAGTTCTTCTGGGACCAATCGAACCCCAAACGAGGTAATGAGGTTTGGATTCTGGGCTTAGAAGATGGTGGAGAGAGAAAATTGTAGATCCATGGGGGGTTTTTTAGAGAGAGAAAGTGAGTGATGGGGGTTGGGGGAAGGTGAGATGAGCTCAAAGGAGAATGGGAAAACAGCTTGATTGAGGGGTTTTGCCGTTTTTTTTTTTTTTTCAAAAAAAAAAAAAAAAAAATTAAAAAAAAAAAAAATCACCAACTTGAACTTAGGGTCTTTTTTTAGTTTGCAACCTAATATTTTATTTTTAATAAATTACAACCTCAAATATACTTAATTGCTAAATATCAACCTCGACCATCGAAATTGGCCGAAAAACTCCTTAAGCAGCAGAGCTAACAGTAAAGGTATACTTATAAACTTATCTTATATATAATTATATAAATATATCATTCTCCCAATTCCTTCAATCCACTTATCCAATTTTTTCCCCAATTATTTTCGTAAGAACTCTAACCCTTATTTGAACAAATGGAGTGGAGGCAAACAACTGAGCATATCATGGAAAGATTTTGTCGTTGCAGAAAAAATGTGGTCACAAGGATGTCGTGGACTGACTTTAATGCTAGAAGAAGATATGTTCCGTGTGCAAAATACCAGGTAATTCTTCAATTTTGAAAACCTAATTTTCAGTTTAAATATGACATTTTCCAGAAAGTGCCAACATTGTGTAATAAATTAAATGCATCAAACTTATTGTATCTGAGAAGAATATATTAGTTGTAATAGTAGTGCGTTGCTCACGAATTTTCCGAACCATTTCGTTGAAGAATCAAAGGTCTAGGGTTGTGAAATTGGCGAAATCGCGAAATTGGGGAAATTGGAATATGAGATTGAAGATTGGGGAGGAATGATATTTTAATAGTATGATATGAGATAAGATTACAATTTTACCCTTAAGCTCCGCCGGCTCGATGGCCGAGGTTGGTATTTACCAATTACGTATAGTTGAGGTTGCAATTTATCAAAAATAAAAGATTAAGTTGCAAACCCAAAAAGGCCCTAAAGTTCAGGTTGGTCAAAATTTTTTTTTCCGGTTTTTTTTATTAACCTGAATAAATAAATTTCCTTTCTAAATAAATTTCCTAACTTTAGGGCATGCTCAAAGCCATCCAATAACCAATTTTTTGTCTCTGTGCAACCAGAAAGCCCCAATTTCATTGAAACTCTAGCCCTCCTCTCCCTCAATTTTGTGGCCTTTTCACCGGTGGGTACGTCGCACCCAGCCGTCTTCGACCAGCACCAGGACGGAAGATGGACTATTGGCGTCTCCGCGGCTCCTCTTCGGTTGGTGGCGATTCCCCTTCAGTCT